TGTGCGTCTGTGCGTCTGTGCGTCTGTGCGTCTGTGCGTCTGTGTGTCTGTGCGTTTGTGCGTCTGTGCGTCTGTGCGTCTGTGCGTCTGTGCGTGCGTGCGTGCGTGCGTGCGTGCGTGCGTGTGCGTGCGTGCGTGCGTGTGCGTGCGTGCGTGTGTGTTTAGTTTGTATTTATTGTGTTTGAAACCGCCTGTTGAAACCATGGTAAATACTGGCCTTTTTTCGCCAAAGCTTGACACGACCAAAAACAAGCGTGGGTATTCGGAGCTTTTGGGGGGTACCCCTTACTCCAAATACCCGTTTGTTTTGTTTTAAGGGTATGGTAGGGTGCCCCCTACTCCAGATACCCATTTGTCTAGTGTTTTGAAAAGGAAACCGAAAAGCAACTGGGTTTCCATGGTACATACCTCCTTTTTGGTAGAGGGTCGACATGATACCAACGGAAAGCAGGCCGGGTATTCGGAGCTTTCGGGATGCTTCAGGAGTGGGATGCCGGCCTCATTGAGCACGCGAAGGCGGGGCCGTTTCGGGGTTCGGGCCCGGTCTCCTCGCTACCTGGAGTCTCCATGACCCTTAAAAAATGTGGTCATGACCCAAAATGATGGGGTCATTGACCTATTTTTTAAAGGGTCATGGAGACTCTAGGTATAGTCCCAGACACCTCAAGTATCCCGGATCCTCTCTTTGAGTAAGGCCGAAATCAATGTCTCACTCCCTGAGTTGTTGACCTGTTTGCAAAGAGCATGTTAGTGGGAAACAGACAGTTTGGACTTTGTTGGCCGACCCATTCAGGAAGTGAGATTTAGAAAGACAGGCTGTCCAACATATGGCAGTTGCTGGAGTGTTCCTTTTGGACAGTTTTCCCATCATGTTTCATGGTCCCAGACTCGCGGGGCATTTCATACTCTGGATGGACGAACTCCTGCACCGCCGTTCAGAAACCCGGGAATGATGATTTACCCTGTCAATGCCAACAAAACAATGGTTTTCCATGGTTTCCAAGTGGTGCGAGAAGGATTTCGCAACCATCGACAGTAGTTTCCATCATTTGAAAGCATTTACCAACCAGAATGCTTCCCCAAAATTGCCTCCCCTTTTTGTTTTTGTGCTTTTTTGGGGTCGCTTTGTTTTCCACTAACCAGGCAAAACATATTATTTGTTCTGCGGTCCTAATTCCAGCCTAGAATGATGGGGCATGCGCATCCGTTTTTCGCAATCGGGACTTGGTGGCTGGGCAGTGCTTCGGTTCTGATGGACCGAAACCAGTCTCTGACAGTTTCAAATTTGGGTGTGGCTCAAAATTAAACAGGGGGCAAACCGCAGGTTTTGGTCCATGTTTCCACTTACCAGGGGTCCATTGTGGTACCGGTTTTTTGAGCCACAGCCATTTGGCCATAGAGGGGACTGCACTCTTACGGCAGGAGTTGCCAATGCAAGAGCAATCAACAGGAGAGCTGCCACGCTGGTTGAGAGGGATGCGAACATTAGTGAGAGTCTGCACACCCATATATTGGGAGTTTGACCATGGATCATGTGTTGGGTGTGACGAAAACAAGTTGCCCGAAACCTCGCTAGAAACTATCCCCGAAAGCTCCCAAGACCCCCTTTTTTCTTAGGGGAAAAATAGGAGGAACCGATCGGCATACATGCCATCCTTTATGATGTCAAGGGTTGGCGAATCATACCCAGTTATGCCAACCGAAAACAGCGGGTATACTGGATTGTTTAATCGGGCGTATTCACTAGTGACTGCCTTAAATCCGTGAGGTGGATTTCTCCCCTTTTCTTTGGTGCATTTTGCTTGGCTGTTAGGACTTTAACTTTTTGCCAACTAATGGGTTTTCCACTAAACCACTAAAAGTTAAACTTAAAGCAGGGGAGCAGAAAGCAGGTGGATTCTTGACTGCTATTGGGTTGGATCTTTAGACTTCAACTTTTTGGGGAATCAAAAGGGTTTTCCACCAAACCCCCAAAAAGTTCAACTTTTTGCAGGGGTCAACAGCAACCAAGGATTTCTCCCCTTTTTTGGGGGCTCGTTTTTTTTTTTCCTTCGGCGGGTCTTTTTTTTGCAACTTGACGCTGCAGTTCGTGGTTCGCCTTCTGGAAGCACCGGGGGGTCTAATCGGGTCGGAAGGTGGTAGCTTCCACAGCACGCAAGCATTTCATTGTTTTTTGTTTGTTTCTGTTTAACCACCAATCAAACATGTCAGTTTGTTTTGTGTTTTTTGGTTTTTGTTTTTTGTTCTCCAGGGGAGCTGCGAATAGCGCAGCAAAGTGCATTTTTTGTTAATGCTCAAAGGCCCCGTGCGCTGGGAACTTGGTTTCGTGCAGGAATGTTACTGCAACTCACTCCCTGATCGAGTTCATGGACTTTCAGCTTTCGAAGACCGCGTTAGTGGCAGACATTTAGTTTGGACTACTCAGGCAGTGAGGTAGCTTATAAACAAAAGTACCCCCTACATCCACATACAACTTTTTGCAGAGATGCTTGACCAAAAAATAAACTAAATAAATCCATGGACCACCAATCGGTTGTCCAAACAGACATGCCCTAACAAAACGTTGGTATTTGGAGCTTTCGCGGGCCTTCCTGTCTTGGGAGTCTATCACTAATATATCCTCATTTTTCCAGGGGACGCACACCGCAAATGGAGGTAATAATTTCCTTGTCCGACTAAATTCCAGGATTATTTGAACACCCAGGTTCTCCCGTTGTGTTTTTTGGACGGTACCCCGTACTCAACATACCCACTTGTTTCAGGGTATCATTGGGAACACCTGGCTTTCTATGGTAGAGGGTCGACATCATACCAACTGAAAAAAACCGCCGGGTACATGGAGTAGGGGGTCGCCAGAAAACGGGGAGCCAAGTCGAAAGTGGGCGATTCTCTTCTTTTTCGAGACACGCCATAAATCATTGTGCTGGGGACGAGGATTCCGCCTGACGTTTTTTTTTTTTTTTTTTTTTTTTAATATATTATTATTATTATTAAATAACATAAAGTAAGTTAAAACAAACAAATGATGGTCAGCTTGAGTGTCTCACCCAGCCAGTGGAAACACTTTACACTTTTTTCTTTGGTGGTTCTTCGTTTATTTTAGTGGTGGCCCAAAAAGTGTACGCTTTTTTTGGGCTGGTCACTAGCCAAGTGAGGTGTTCTTGGCATCTGTTTTCGAGCGGTTTCTAGTGTATGTTTAGTGTTGGTTTGGAGTTGTTGTTATGGTTTCCCCCTACTCAAAATACCTGTTGTTTCCAGGGTATTTTTGGGAAAACCTGGTTTTCCATGGTAAATACCTTGTTTTTTTAGTAGAGGGTGGACATGATACCCTGAAAAAAGATGGTATCGGGTGTAGGGGGTAGTGGCTGCCTACTTTGATTTTATCATGGCTTCCAGATACGTTTTCTAATGATTGCCTTCAGTATAGAAGATGTTGTTGTCTTCTTTTTTTCTGGTTATATGGCTTGCCTGGAAGCGCATTTTATGAGTGTTGATCAGACAGGTGCTGGCCCTTTTCAACGACTACCTCACGAAGGCGCCGTACTTCGGAAGCTGCTCATTGGCTGCTTTTGAGACATGTGGGTCATGTGAGCTAGGGGGTTTCAGTTTTTCACCCTAGCTGTTTTCACCCTAGCAATTGAATCATTAATTTGTTGCAAATACTCATTGGCGCAGGTTTTAGTTTTTGTTTTTGGTCCCATTTAGGTGTCATTTTGGTAGAGCGCATGGTCTGGTTCCGAACTGGTCGGGCGGAACCTTGTAGTAAGGCTATTCGCATTTTCTAAAGTATGTCTACCATTCCAGGTATTGGAATCCATAAATTGTATATGTATATGCGTACCAATGTAACCATGGTCGTAGAGTCGTAGAACCAAAAGTCAGCTCTGGTATGCGCTGCTTGGAAGAACTTGCGTGTCAATTCAACTACCTTCCCCAGTGAGAAACGTTCCCAGCCTGCCCTTCTGGTCAGGGAGGGTTTTGTCTCAATATCGGGGACCCTCAATATCGCCAGACTTGGCCGGCCTTTGGATTTTTGTTTCCCCTTTGTGGGTTTCCTTCAGTTTTCCTATCAACCAGCGAGAAGATGACATTGAGGGTGAGGGAATGTATGTCTAGACTGAACAATAAAACTGGAAGTTGTCCGCATGTTCCCCTTTAACACCACCAAACCAAGAGTACTCACAAAAAAGACACACCCAGATCCCAACATGTTTGCACCCTTACCTTCCAGTAGAGCATAGCAGCATGAATTGAAACTGAGGCCAAGAGTCATTTGGCACGCCCAGTTAGTGCCAGAGAGCACTGTACGTGAGGTGGCAGTGCCTCTTACCGGGCGGCAGGGCGGCTTCTTGCAGTTGCACCGGGCACAACGCGCTCGCGCGCCTCGCGCCCCCAGCCTCCTCAGTCAAGCCTGAGAGAGAGAGAGAGCTCAGTCGGCAAATGAGAGCTGATTTTGATTCCGGACATGAGTGCTACAGCAATGGATCGATCGCGATGTTCGCGTGGCTCGCTTTGTTGGGGGCAATCGTTTGCCGCCAACTGACTCACGCATCATCTTACCGTTCCCTTGAGGGAAACAGTTCCACCTAATAATGTAGCAGGTTAACTACGCGAGGATAGCCCACGGCAAAGCTCTGCTGAACATAGACGCTGTCACTCCACATTGCCTGAAAACAAAAGACGATTCAATTTTAGGAATGCGATTCATGGGCTCTCCAAATGAACACCCCTATATATAAATGTGTGGCTTTTCCCTTGGTTTCCAAGGAAGGGCGCTGCAAGGAAGAGGTCCTCATGAGAATGTGAAAACGAATGGGACCACTGGCTGGGTCAAACGGCTATCTGGAGTCTCCTTCTGACCTTTCAACCATGTGTCCATGACCCCTATATTTTGAGTAATGATTTCATGTCTTGGTGGCTCCCAGCCATCCGGTTCCTTAGCCTTTTAGCTTTTTAGTGTTTAGTGGGGATTTCTATTCAACCCACTAAAGGTTAAACTTTTAGCGGGGGATCTGAGGACAGCCCAGATGTTGACAGGGTCATAAGGAGACTCCAGGTAGCGGAGTTTGGTGACTCATCTCGCCCAACACTCAAACAGCCACTTGGCGCAAGGCGTTTCGCCAGCTGGATCCCTCCATCTGGCGATGGATCGCCTACGAGGCACAGTTGGGGACCGGTCTGAAGCGCCCCCTTTTTTTGTTCCGCAGCCGTGGTATCCTGCATGTTCTCGGTGTTTTGCAGCCCCCAACAATGCAACAAACCACAGTGGCAACAAGACCCCCCCCAAGCACAGAATCCCCACTTTGTGCAGGCTATGATGTCAACCCGTTACCAAGACGGCATTTGCCCTGGGAAAAGCTGTGGTTGTGTTTCCAACGACCCTAAAAATCAGATCGTATCGGGAGGAAAGTGGCGCATTCATCATGGTTTTGGGCTCTCGCCGGGCCTTCAGGAGGCTCCCTTTTTCAGAGGGCTCGTGCGTGGGAAAAAAAAAAGAGGACGGGCCTTATGTTTGCCCCATGCGCGAGGTGATCATAGCCACGTAACCACCCAATACCCGGCCATTTTGTTCAGTTGGTATGATGTCGACCCTCTACTAAAAAATGAGGTATTTTCGCCCCGTAACCACCCAATTGCCCCTGGCTTAGTGGTCTTCCCTCACGAAGCCTCACGAGTCCTGAGTTCCGGGACTCGTCACTTTTCGGGTTTGGTGGCCAGTTGCGTGTTAAACAGAACGTGTGGGTACCTTATTTGGCCCATCCACTCGATCGGAAGTGACTTCCTGAGTTCCGGGACTCGGACTTGAGTCAACTTTTGGGACTGAGCAAGTTTAGACTTTTGGTAAGGAGACTCCCGGCGGCTTTAGCCAATCCACTCGCACGTTCAGTCCGGTTCAGGCTTTCGGCGTTCGGCTCTTGAGCCACTGGAACCCCCACGAATCGCCCAGAATTTGGGCCAGGTGCGGGAGAAAATCAAGGCCTTGCTGGGGATCCAGGTAAAGGTTCCTACCGTCTCATGGGAACCCCAGATCCAAGCAGAAGCCCTGGTTGATCTTTAGAGATGGGGGTCTCCCGATTTTTTTAGGGGCTGGTTGCTTGAGTAGAATGCCCCCCTATAGGACGGGGTTATGAAGTATAATGTCGGCCCTCTCAAAAAAGGATGTATTTACCATATGGTCCGGGTATTTGGAGTTGGGATGTGGTTTTCCACGCTGCATCTTGGAAAACGTGGGTTTTGGCATTCATCGAAGTGTTGATTCCCCATGTTCTTGATCCATTGGCCCATTTGCGAACGGAGCAGGTTCGGCTAGAATTAAATGACCCCCGAAAGCTCCAAATACCCACCGTTTTTTGGCGACTTGAACGATCCGGATGGGACCATGGCAGCCACCAATCCATGGGTGTCCTTCTTGGTTGCTTTGGTCGAAAAAAATAGATGGCGATCCCTGGTTTACCTGGATGGTTTAATCATCCACCAGGGAAACCCATCTATTTCCCCTAAAAGGACACCTATGCACCAATCCCTTAGTCAGGGGTTGATATGGCTGTGGGTCAAAAATAGGTACCCCAAATGGAACCCTATTAAGTGGAAACATGGGCCAAAACTTGTGGTCCCTTGGTGGTTTAATTCAAAACCACCCCTATGAATTACAGATGGTTGATTGATATGGGGTGGCTCAAAATTAAACACAGCTTTTGGTGGTTGGTTCCATTTACCTTTTGCTGCCATGTTGGTACCTGGAGTCTCCATGACTCTTAAAACATGGGGTCATTACCCAACATTGACCCATGTTTAGTCTCCGGTCATGGCGACTCCAGGTACAGTACACCCCCTACTCCAAATACCCGCTTTTTTCATGGTGTTTTTGGTTGAAAACCGAGAAAGCTTTTCCATGGTAAATACCGATCCCTTTCTTAGAGGGTCGACAACTCATACCAACTGAAAGAAGACACGCCGGGTATTGGGTGCTTTCGGGGGGCATTTCTGTCGCCCCATGAGCCTGGTGTTTTGGGGTTCGGGGGCCCAGGAGCCTGGGGGCTTTGATCCCGTTTCAGGACCTCTGCGGGGCCTGGAGTGCGGGGCACTTTGAGGAAGTGGACCGGGCGCCTAGCGGCCTAGCGGCCTAGCGGGGGGGGGGGGGGCGGGTTCAGAGGGGATGGAGTTGTGACAGGATTTGTGGGGCCTCCTTAGGGGTTTGTCTCAGACAAATTTGGATTTGGACCCCCCCCCCAAAAAAAAAATGGGCGGCTTCCGAGTGTGGTCTTCCTAAGCAAAAAGCTGGGTAGCGTCAAAATGAGAACAGCGGGCCCATTTGTGGGCCATTTGAAGCATGGAGCTGCAGCAAGGCTCCACATCTTGTTCGATATCCCTCTGAAACTGGGCTGGCTGGGGCTGGGAAGCTAGACACTGGCGTCGTTTCCCTTCACGGGCGGTGACTTTGAAATAAAGGACTGAGCCCACTATGATGTAATCGGGTTTAACCGGGGGTAGTTCACTTCGCCGCCCAATGTTTCGTTGCGCCACTTCCGGCAACCAGCCAGTTTTTCGGCCAAGGGGAAATATGGAGTTGAGTTCCGTGAATTGGCATAGATATTTTTCCACACTCTCGAACCCTTATTTGGCTTCCAATTTAGAGTCAGCGTTGACGTTTTGATTGTTGTTGCCCTGGGCAAAAGTGCTACTAGATAAGTGTTGGCCCTAGGAGGGCTGAAGGTTGACCAAGGGGCTCCGTGTTTCTATCAACTGGCTGCAACTGTTTTATCCAGACCTGCTCCGGATGGCCACTAAATTGCCTCCGAAAGTTCCAACTACACATGCTGTATGGTGTGTATGTTGTTTGATCTTTGAACAGCCATCGAAGAGTTTATTGGCCAAAATGCCTCCCTGGACCCCACAACAACTCCATCAACAGCGTTGAAATCCCCCCACACAATACCCACTTGTGTCCGGGTATATGATAGGGTATGATGTCAACCGGTTTCAACCTTGTTCTTCAAAACAACCCCCCCCCCCAAAAAGGTGTGCATTTGGAGCTTTCGGGGGTAAGTTTAGTTGGAGTATCCATTTTATAAAAAGGGTATAACTTCTTTGTGCTGAGTGGTTCGGCGGGGTCGAGTCGGAAAGAATAATCCAACTGATTAAGGAGCACTTAAACAGGCCGGGTTCCAAAGGTCCGTGTACTACTCTAAATACGCCAGCTTTTTTGGTTTGTATCATGGCAACCCACGAAAGAAGGATGTATTTACCATGGCAAACCGATTAGTTTTCTATTAAAAAAAAAAAAAACTGAACAGGGAAACCAGCCTTGGTAAGCCACTGTAAGATGCGACAACATTTGTTTGCACATATACTACTTGACCAAGTGCCCTCTACTTCAAATACCCGTATTTTTGTTGTTTTTTAACAGCACAGTCTTTGTTGGAGAGCCTTGCTTTCCATGGTAAAATATTCCTCTTTTCTGTGGCAGAGGGTTGACATGATACCAACTAGAAAAGGCGTTGGTATTGTGTGGTTTCGGGGGGACAAATTAAACGGGGACTGTGGTACAAGGGAATCACCCCCGTTCCAAAACGAAAGTTCGTCTTTGGGAAGCCCTTTTCTGTTGTATCACAGAAGTGGATTACATGTCCCATGGCCCGGAGTTTGACTGATTTCCGAGAAGCTTTAAACCAACAGGTTCTTGGAGTATCTGGAGTCTCCTTATGACCCTTTAAACATGGTTGGTCGTTACTAGTTACCCAACAAATTCAGGGGCTACCCTTCCAGGGGGGTCATGTTTTAAACTTCGGGTGGTTTTAGCCAATCTTGATGTGAAGTGTTTCAGGGAAACGAAGAAGCGGGAAAAAATTCGCCCGCGCCACTCAGGGCCAGGAGTTGGGCAGCTTCTTAGGGCCGCGGCCCCGAGTCGAGTCGAGGCGAGGCGAGGAGTAAGAGGCAGCTCTTGATCCAGGGCCCTACCGGGCCTTCCGTTTTTAGCTCATCGACTGAAAAGGGTATGGCTCAAAATTCACCAGGAGGGGTTGCGCGGATTTTGGTACCCATGTTTCCACTTACCAGGGTTCCATTTTGGTACCGGTTTTTTGAGCCACAGCCAAGATAAAGCAGAACCCGCGGTTAGGGTTGTTTCGTGTCCACCAAAAGTCAACCCACACAAGTGGTTACTTCCATGTGCGTTTCAGAATATGGTTACTTCCATGTGCGTTTCAGAATATGGTTACTTCCGTGTGCGTTTCGGAATATGGCTTAAGTTGTGTCTGCCTTGTAGAAGGAAGCTACCGCTGGACATGTCTTTTTTTTGCCAGACGTATCAACTGGATGGCTCCAAGTCGGGTACGTGTCACCTCTCGGGTTGGGAATTGGTTGGCGAATTTGTTGGCGTCCACCAACCCTCGAACCCTACCCTACCCAACTGTCAAGTTACCATCCTCAAAAAGCCTCCCCTCAAAGTAATATACCTGGACCCTCAAACTACCCATAAAAATGGGATATCACCCCATAATTTTGGTGGTTAAACCCATTTTTAAGGGAATTTTGAGGGTTCAGGTATACACAGGGGTCCCCTGTGGCTTGCGAAATCCAGAAATCCCACCACATGGAAAGCATCGTAGCCGCAACGGTTCTTGGAAAAATGCGTTGGGAATCATGATGCCAGGGTTTCTTAGGTGGTGCAGGATTTCATCCATCCACAGTAATATGGACCTCGAAAAAGTGGATTTAAGAGCCGCTTGGGTGTGGCTCAATAGGAATCGGCTTTTGCATGGGTTTATCATGGACAAGTTTTGTCTACCCCCTACACCCAATACCCACTTTTTTCAGTTGGTATGATCTGTCGACCCTCTACTAAAATAGGGATCGGTATTTACCATGGAAAAGCTTTCTTGGTTTTCAACCAAACATACCCACTGAAAAAAGCGTTTGTATTTGGAGGTTACGGGGGTACAACTTGGAGTCCCCACACTTTGAGCCTCATCCACCCTGACAACTTCTCGAACCTTCAATAGCCCACATCGAGGGCTTGAGGACTAGGAAGATCCGATCGGGGCGAGGGGGGATTTGCAGAGGCCACACCTTGAGTTGCTGAGAGAAATCAAAGTGTCAGGACAGACCCCCTACACCCAATACCCGGCCTTTTTTCAGGGTATCATGTCGACCCTCTACTAAAAAAGGTTTGGTATTTACCTTGGAAAACCAGGTTTTCCGAAAAATACCCTGTTGAAGCTCGTTCTTTGCTGCTCTCCGGCATGCGCCCTCCGAAGTTCCTCGACAAAAAAGACGTCGACAACATCTTCGAGAAACTCCACGATGCTCTCCGGGGTGAGGTACTTCACACCAAGTGCCAAGACTCCGTGGATCATAATGTTGAGGAGTGGGTGGCCAAGGCAATCCTGGTGCGAGGACTCGCGTTCAACGGGAGTACTGTGTCCGACTTCTTCGATGATTTGTCGACCCTCTACTAAAAAAGGGATCCGTATTTACCATGGAAAAGGTTTCTTGGTTTTCAACCAAAAATACACTGAAAAAAGCGTTGGTATTTGGAGCTTTCGGGGGTACCCTGAAAATCGTTCTTTGGAGAACCGAATCGGCACTGTTTCAACTCTTTTCTTGGTCGATCTTACAGGGGCCCACCTCCAAAAAGGTTGAACACAATAACATGGGCTTAAGATGGAACTTGGGGCAACTCAAAATACCCTCTACTCCAAGTACCCGCTTTTTTTCTGAAAAAATTGGCCGGGTATTGGGTGTAGGGGGTAACCACACGTTTTGTTTACCACACAACTGGCCACCAAACCCGAAAAGTGACGAGTCCCGGAACTCAGGACTCGTGAGGCTTCGTGAGGGACCACTCAGCCAGCTCCTTTTGTAGTTGCTCGACATCTGAACAAAATGGCCGGGTATTGGGTGGTTACGGGGCTATGATCACCCATGGGGCGTGAAACAAATGGTTGGGTACCCCCGAAAGCTCCAAATACCCACGCTTTTTTCAGTTGGTGTTTTTGGGAAAACCGATCGGTTTTCCATGGGAAATACCGATCCCTTTTTTAGTAGAGGGCCGACATGATACCAACTGAAAAAAAGGGGCTATGATTGATGCATGGGGCCGAGGCTGCCGAGCTCGGCCTTGTCCAGGGCCTTCCGGCACTTCAAGCCGAGCCAGAAGGCGTCAGATTTCTCAGTTGTCCAAAGCGAATCGACCTTTTGACCTTTTGGTTTCCCCTGTTGGTCTACTTTTTGAGGTCCCAAAAGGTTAACCTTTTATGTTCCGGTCCTTTGGGCAAGTGAGATTTATGGTATTTTCTTTTTCGGCGCGGGCGGGCGGGGGGTGCAAACACGATGGGCGCCAACAAAATTCAGGTCGCAGAGCTTGGGACAGAGGAAACCCTACCCCCGTAACCTCCAAACACCAGGGCTTTTTCCAGTTGGTATTTCTGGGAAAACCGATCGGTTTTCCATGGTAAGTACCGATCCTTTTTTAGTCGCAGAAACTGGGGACAGATGACAAGAAATCACAGCATAAAAGCCTCCTACCACCTGTTGCAGGATTTGGTTTACAGAAAATTACTTGGATGTTGGCCCAAGTGACTTGGCGGTTCCCGACTGAGTCGTCCAGTTCCCCAGGTGTTTCGTGGTTGTTCGTGGTTTCGTGGGGTTTTCCATGTAACCCAGCTAAAAGTGTTCTCAACTTTTCGCAGGTTCGCAAGGTTCATCGCACTTAACCGGGGGAGGACTGAACTGAGTGGGCTACAACTTAGCGAATCAAAGGCCCAAGAGAATTGGTCTTGGACCCAAAAACGCGGATTCACCGACCAGAATTTCAGCAGGCGATATCCGATTCTTAAGGGTAGGGTTCAGGTATCGTCAATACGGTGTTGGAAGCAAAACCATAGGGTTGGGAAACAAATGCTGAAAGAAAGCAAACATTATAGAAGTGCACAGCCCGAAATTCTTGGGCACTCGCCAACATTTCTGGGTAGTTTGAGGGTCCAGGTACTCCTTTTGGGTAAGGCAGCCACAGTATTGATGGGTGTGCTTTTGAGCAAGGTGTCAACCAACATGTTGAAGCAGATAAAGTCCAACTTCAAAATGTTCGATGGAATCCCAATAAACATGCGCTTACCATGTGCAAACGGATACCTGGACTCACCCTCAGAAACTACCCTGAAACCCGGGTTATTTCAATTCAAAGTTGTAGTTAGTAAGTGCCTATTTTTTTTCTGGCTACTTGGAGTCTCGATGTCGGAGTCCCGATCTTGTGGGAACTGACCCCTTTTGAGTGAAGGGTCAGAAAGAGACTCCACGAAAAAAGTTGAATTTCTTCGGGCCCGGGGTTTTTTCAAGAGGGCCAAACCGCTCCGAGAAGCCGAATTTTCCCAAGGGTTGCTTCCATTTCCATTCTTTCCAGGGATCCGAATCTTTCTAGAAAACCACCAAAAGCCCTGGAAAGACAGCTGGTGGTTGAAAAGCAGGATGGTTGAAAAGAATAAGAAAGGAGTCAACCCCTGGACTTCCCCAGAATTAGTTCCCCCTTTTACTTTTTTGCTTTTTTGGAGTCTGGGGTCCCAATTCCAGCCCAGTAGAGTTTTCCCGCCTTTCAGATCTTCGGATTTTCGCGGGGGGCGGGGCGGAACGAGGACGCCGCGAAGGAGATGTCCGGGGCGAATCTGCGGACGCTCCGCGAGCTCGAGCGCTGCAAAGGCGACCGCGAAACGCACCCAAAGCGCCGAACAGCTTTTTTGTTTTATTAAATCAAGACTGCCCCAGACTTCCATTTGCTGAAGAATATGTGTTATTTTCCCTTGTTGGTTTTAAAAAGGATTTCTCACTACGTGTTTTTTGGTTCAGGGGTCTTAACCAAATGGAAGAAAACAAGGGAAGCCCCCAAAAAACCGGGGCAATGTATGATGTCTCCCAATGTTCCAGCTGACTTTTCGAGGTTCCGAAACCGGACTTTGGTCACTGGGGTTTGGACCAGGGCGGTGAATGGAGAAATTTCCTGGACCCCCAAAGGACCCCAGTTTTTTTGTCTGCCTTTGTACCCCTTTTTTTTGGGTCAAAGGCAGAAACAAAAATTGGGGTCCTTTGGGGGTCCAGGTTGGTTTCTTTCTGGCAAATCCGCTCAGGAGGGGTTTCGGCCAAGCTCCGTGTGTGGTTCCATTTGGGCGTGTCTTTTTAGGGGATTTTTTTGTGTAAAAAAAAAGTGGTTTTGCGCTTGGTTTCCCTTGTTGAACCAACGTCTGTAGGGTTTGAGAGCGAGGAGGTAGATGCTCCATTCTTCGCTAGTTGCTTGTTCCGCTTCTTGTCAATGCAAGTTTTGGATTCGTCAGGAGAGTGGCAAGCCGTAAAGTTTTCAGGGGGACTCCTCTGCTTGGTATGGTTTTTCAGCATAATCCGAAGTCAACATCAGCTTCTGTTGTTGTTTCCAGTTTTGCTCTGCGAATTGAATGCTTGTTTCCAGTGTCCACACTCAAACCTGGTCAGCGGTGACGTTACCAGGCGCCTGTATTTCCTGAAAACAAAAAAGCCGACACGGCAGAGGTCTTGACCTGTTCCACTTCAATTCGAGGGGTCCTTTGACTAGTGGTTCGGGTGAACTTGAAGTAACATTACCCCCTACTCCAAAGACCCGCTTTTTTCAGTTGGTATGATTTGTCGACCCTCTACTAAAAAAGGGATCGGTATTTACCATGGAAAGCCGATCGGTTTTCAACCAAAAATACCAACTGAAAAAGCGTTGGTATTTGCAGGTTACGGCGGTACCTTTTGTGTTATCCAACTTATGCCCTAGCCAAAACAAGAGCACGTCGTCCTGAAAGCGGGACATAACGTAGGGGGTACCTGGGCCGAAGACCCAAGTCAGGGTCTCAGCTAGTTCTCCAAAAATCCGTGTTTTTTTTTGGCTGCCCTGTTTGGTTGGTGGGGGGGGTCTTAAAGCGACATCACCTGAACCTTCGAAGGGGCGGCCACCAGAATGATTCTGAGAAGCCCTGCTCAGATGGTTCTAGGAGCTGTGGGTTGTTGCCGGCTTCATTTTTTTTGACTCGACTGGGGTCGACGCCTGGGGTGATTTCCTTCATCGTCTCACTCCCCGAGCTCCTGGACTTGAAAACTGCTTGGGTTTGGACCATTTTACTTCGTTGGTGCATTTTGCCAAGGGATGTTAGGACTTTAACTTTTTGCCATGGTTTTCCCACTAAGCCACTAAAAGTTAAACTTTTAGCAGGGGAGCAGAAAGCAACCAAGTTTAGTGGTAAGTGGTGGTAGGTACAAAGTTCAGACTGATTGGGCCAAACTCTGGCACTGGGAAAACCGATCGGTTTTCCGGGTTTAATAGGTTTTAACCTGTTCTGGGCGCCAGGCGGCTCCTGGTTCCCAGAGCTCTTCGGACAGCAGCAGCTGCTGAAGGGGCCGCGCGCTCAAGACGCGGAAGGGGCCTGCGGGAACCGCAGCGGGTTCAGCTGAATCAACTTGGAGAGACTCCCACAGTGTTTTTTTTTTGGGGGGGGGCTCCTACAAAAGGTCCTTTGGCAAATCCCTTCAGAACTTCTAAATTCAGAACCAACCAAAAGGGCGTACCCTAAAAAAAGACCCACACACACATATATATATATATATATATATATGCTCGCCCCCCCCCATGATCCACGCCCAGCAGGTCCAACCATCTGCTATGCAGGGCCAACCATCTGCTATGCAGGGCCAACCTTCTGCTTGTCCAACCATCTGAGATGCAGGGCCAATCTGGCAGGAGCAACTGTCATGCCTTACATGCAGCACATGCACCTGGAAAGCAAAAGCAGCATACTGCAGTTTTTGGCTGGCCTAGCAAATTGTTAGATCATTCGCTTCGGCAGACTCACTTATGTCTGCCACTGCCTTTCATGGAGTACTTCCCCGCAAAGTTTTCTGGGCCCTCCAGCAATGGAGCCATACCCCGGGGCCAAGTGCCCCCTCTGGGCCTGCTTCATGGCCCACGAAGGTCGGTCAACTTCCCAACGGCTCCTTGGCCTGGTGTTCGATGATCTTCTTTAAAGAAGGAGCGTTTTCTTGAAGTTCATGTTTGTCGGCCGTTCTTTGCCCGGTCTTTCTTTCCCCTGCCTGAGGCTCTGAAGTCTTTGAGTTCGATGGCATCCTCTTCAAGGTGGATGCTGATGGCGAGACGGAGCTGAACGCCGACGAGGTGCAGCTCATCATTAAGTGAGAGCCGGCAGCCACATGGCTAGATTTTCTGTGCCTTGGGCATTTTTCTGACACTGGAGTAAAAAGGAAATTCTGACACTGGAGTAAAAAGGAAAAAAAGCGCGCTGCCTGACCTGCAAAGCAAGTGTGTCAACTTGAGCGCACATGGCCCTGTCTTTTAAGAAGACTACCTCCGCTTGCAAACAAGAAGTGTTGCTTTCTGCCTGCACGCACAAGGTCCTCCGCAAATTAAACAGCCATCCAAACAGGTCTGTCAAATGTCCCTGGTCTGCCGCAGCCTTCACCAAGCCAACTAGGCAATCATACTTGCATCCTCTTTGCTTATTGCATTCTTCTAGCAATGGCAAGCCAAGCTCCTCACCGACCTCAGTCTCTCGCTCAAAGCATGGACGCCGCCAATCTTGACGGGCGTTGCGCGTTCGAGGAGGCCACAGCCTGCACGGAGGGCATGAAGGTGCTCCAGCTGGAGAAGCCTATGGTGGTGCATAAGGAAGCGGGCTTTGTGAGGCTGGGTGACCTCCCGGCCAAAATGGAACTCACAGACGGCATCAAGAAGACAGTGCAGTTCTTGGATGTCAGAAGGCGCCCTGGATTTCAAGGCTCTGGAAACTCTCTTCTTGCAACAGCGGTATGCTGAATTGCCTGCACCGATCGGCATGAAAGGCAACAACCTCGTGCCTTACAACTTGCAGCTCTTCATTATGCCCAAAGGCCCCAACAAGCACGACATCATCAAGCACGTGAAGTTCGTGGACGGCACCAGGGTCCTGCACAGCGCAATTTTGCGGATGTGCCATGGCCAGGCTCTTCAGGTCGACCTTCAGGGCAAGTTCAGGGAAGGAGCATGCTGGAGGGCTTAGGCGGTCCTTCCAAGTCCGGTATCAGAAGCTCGTCCCCGCCGGCAGCTCCAACAAGCAGCCCCTGGAGACCGCCGATATCAGGAAGGGGTTTGACTTCATTTGTGAGCAGGGGCCGGAGGAGAACTCCAAGGGTCAGTTCACCACTTGGACAGAACTTTGTACAAATGGGACAAGGGGACCATCAAGGAGTTCTTGCGCGTCCTCGCAGATCAAGGCTCCCAAGCGAACACCATCAACGACACTGAAAAGTCTGACTTTTCTGGTGTGGATTGGTAAATCCCATGTGGGGAAGAGCCCGGTCTCCTACGCCCTGTCCTCCGTGGTCTCGGCATACTGGTTGATTCAGGAAGACAAGAACGAGTCCCCGAGCTTCCAGACGGCCAATCATCTGGATTATTTCCGCAAGGAGAAGGGCCGCAAGACGAAGCCCCGGTCTTTGACGACGGGAATCTCAACCTCGAACACCCCGCTGCAGTCAAAGCCGTCACGGAGGTGGACGGAGTTGATCGGAAAACCATGGCCCGATACAACGCATCCTCATACGAGAAAAATCAGCTGTGCCAGATTTGCAGCAATCCTTACGACCGCACGGTCGAGCCGCCCATGAGCCCACATGCGACCTCCGACACTGTGCCATTTGACATCTTCTTCAAGCTTGTTCGTCCTTCCTTCCACAAGGAATTCGATGAGGAGGACTTGATGGGTCTTTGTGGTCTTCACGGAGGTTGGCATCTACATTCGCTTGCCTGGCACAAAGCGAGACCCCGTCAAGCGCCACGCGTGGCCGGAGGATGATGTTGGCATGATCTCGCCAGCGGCGCGCCCAACCTTGGCTGCCTACAAGAAGGGCAACTTCACCAGACCCCCTGCCAGCTATGACCAAGACCTGCAATGGAGTTTGAATCTGTTGCAGGCAGGGCTTGACGGGGAGGACGTACCCTTTTGCACCACCACAAAGGGAACAGAGCTCTTTTCTGGACGGAAATACATCGAGGAGGGGCGGCCTACCCTGGCTGGGATTGATGGCAAGACCAAGTACTATCTCAATGAGGAGCCTGAGTCTGCAACAGAACTTCCTGCGAAAAGGTTGCGCGCTGTGAAATCCTCTGAAGCTTTGCTCTCAAGCAAAGTAGAACTCAAGACGGAGGAAGCTAAGCCCAAGACGGAGATGCCTGAGGAGCCCAAGATGAAAGTGCCTGAGACAGCAAAGTGTGAGGACTACTTGGAGAAGCCCAAGGTCACCATCAAGAAAGAGCCTTCTGGGACCCCATCGTTTTCTTTGAAGAGCTCAAAGCGGCCTCTCGTCATCAACCTCTCGGATTCGTCTGATGCGCCGGAAGGCAAGGTTCCTGAGGAGCCAAGTGTCCAGGTCAAGTCTTCCGCTGCGTCTCCTGAGGAAAAACAAATGGACAAGATCACAGAGCCGGAGATCTTTGATCCCATGGTGGACCTGCCCTCCAACAGCGACCTCGAAAACGAAGCTCAGCCTTCTTTGTTGCAAGAGTTGGCCATGGAAGTGCAGAAGGTGATTGGCGGCGAGGAGATGGATGTGGTCGAGGATTGAGATACCGCCCTAGAGATGCCTGACTGCCTGAGCTAAGGCTAGTTTTGATTGTAGTCTGTAGTGGGTGACACAAACCTATAAGCCGTCTCATGACAAATGCAAGGCCTTCACAAAATGCGCCCAGCCAAAAAAAGGTGTGCACATATGCATACATATGACCTCATGAGGAATGCTGGTTAGGTGTTACCTTGGGATGACTCCATGACACGAAGAGTTGCGCGCAGTCTGTTGCTCAACAGCTATCCTGTGACTGACTCCTTTAGTTCCTGCCCTAATGCCGAAGGGGGTGATGAAAGCCATGAAGAAGAAGCCCGTCTTCCCAGACCCGAAGCGAGGCAAGCGTAGGGTCCAGAGGAGGCCTGCCGCGAACAAGAAATACACACCTGTGGCCTATGTTCGTCATGGTGTTCCCACCACGAAGAACAGAGGCCATCGCGCTCGATGGGGCCGATCCATTCAGGAGTGGATGTCGTTATCGCCTTCCAAGCTTTTGCAGAAGCTTCTCAAGGACAAGATCTTGTCGAGCTGGAAAGGCAAACACTGCCCTCGTTGTGGTAAAGGCGTCATGGGCCCATTGAAGTTCTTCAAGGATAAGAAGCTGTGGGCATACAGGTGCAACCATCGCTACTGCCACAAACTTCTACAGCCACACGACTTTCATCCTGTCTTCTTCATGTCATCGGGCAAGTCATCTACACCTCTCTCCAACAAGTGGCCGCCCTGTATTGCGCAGTGGCTGGCGTGTCATGCCAGTCGGCTCACCTGGTCCTAGATATGGACCACAAGCCAGTGGAGATGCCAATTTGGATGTCGCCAGGGCAGACTATGTCACTAAGCAGGAGAGGAACATCACCTACGGTGGCGCTTGGCAGGACACCGAGGTCGATGAGGTCGACATCGGGAAGCTATGAGACAATCGAGCACCAGCACAACACCACATGGGAGCAGTGGGGTGGACTGGTTGAACGAGGGCGACCTTCATCCCTTCGTCTATACCGTTTGAACCCGAAGAAGACCAAAAAAAGAGCTCCTGGCCCTGGACCGATCAGGAAGGTTGACTGGATGCCGATCGCGAAGAAGCACTTGGCTAACCGGAAGGTCATCCTTCACTCTGATGGAGCCCGCGCCTACAAGGTGAAGTTGCCTGGGGTTCACCACTGCAACGTGGTTCATCAGAAGAAGAAGCAGACGGTCAAGAACAAGGCCCGACAATAATATGTATGACTTTTCTAGAAATTCTCTTTGCCTGACATCTTCGTGTCTTGAATAAAAACTGTCCTGTCAGGTTACCTGGGTCCGGCCTCACTATACCAAGGTGTACCACCTGAAGCTTCCTGATGGCACTTCCTTTTCTGTAAAGAGCGGCACCCAGATCATAGATCGATTCTGGGGAACGCTATGCGCAAAGCTGAAGACTAATGCCCGTGTGCCCGGAAGCCAGGCCCTCACACGCAAGATCCGCTCTGCGCAGTGGGAGTATTGGCACATGCAGTCTAACTTGTGGACAGCAACTGGACAGATGCTGCGGGCACTGCATGCCGAGAAGTGATTGCAGATTTCCAGACGAGCTGCGATGGATGGAAAAAAAAGGCTTCTCAACACTGTCAGCTTCTGGTGTGCAAAATGCTGTAAGGGAGACCTTACAGCATTTTCTGCTTCTGAGCACCAAAAATGCTGTAAGGTCTCTATTTTTTGGGTTTCCAAGGCCTCAAAAATAGACCTTACAGCATTTTCTGCTCTTAGATGCCTAAAATGCTGTAAGGCCTCTATTTTTGGAGCAGGAAGCTGAACAAATAGAGGCCTCTCAGCACTGGCTGCTCCTGGATGGCCAAGATGCTGTCAACTATCTCACTCTGAGAGACAAATAGCTAAATCTTCTAGTCTTTATGTGGGGAGAGAAGGAGAGAAGGGTTGAAGGAGCGCTGGATTTCGGCACAGGCAGGAAAATACCTACTTTAGAGTTGGCTTAGCAGCTGGCTATTCTAAAAGTGGTATTCCCGCATTTTGGATTCCCAAAAGTTGGTTTTCGTATTGGGGGGACCTTTAGCATTGGGGAGAATGGATTAACCTTCCCCCCCCCCCCCAATGAAAGATCATATGTATGTGTGTATATATATATATATGCTGTGTATATATGTATATATATATGTGGTCGAGCTATATGGTCACCCCCCCCCCCATGATCCACACCCCCATGTTGCAAACTAGAAAACATACCAAACATGCAGGAAAAACGCGTTTTTTCCCTTGGTTTTTGTTATACAAAGGCATATCAGATTCTGACCAGATTCTTTGAAGGATATCATCTCCAGATGAAATGGGTCGGTTCAGCAGATGGTTTCCTACGGGCCCTCTAATGCTAAATCCGGTTTTTGCCGAAGGACCGGGGGACCCACTTAGTATTAGGGGGGGGGGGTCACACTCCTTGCCCGTTACCCGACCAAGGTTTGTTCATTGCCATTATCCCGTGCAACTTTCACTGGTTCTCGAGACTTGAGCACAGAGTTGAGACGTGGGTTGAAAGTCGGCGCGCGGCATGGTGCACAGTGAATCACACGAACATAAAAGTAAATGGCGATGCCTTTATCACATGTGCCATGGTCAAAAGATACCTTTGCCTGGGGTTAGCAGGGATGGTCACCACAGGGCTCCCCGGTTTCAACATCACCTTGTTGGCGCATTTAAGGTGTGTCTCCCTTGGGAGGGGTTTTCAGGGGCTCCTCTTTCCGGTTTCAACATCACCATCTTCAAACTACCCCTGAAATTTAATTGTTGCTCAACATGATGGTTGCTTCCCATTTTTGTAAGGGTAGGGTGCCACGCGAGGCTTGCCAATGGCGTGCCCAAAGCCATTCCCGCCGTGAGAGACGAGGAGAGCGCAGATTGGTCGCACGGGGCGTGGCGGCGTGGTGCATGGGGTCGGGGCGTGGACGAGACCGCGGCTTCGGTGGGTTGGGTTGATGCAGTTGTTTTTGACATTTCTCAAATTGGTGAACCCCTTCTCGGGCGGGAAACCAACACTTCACTGTGTTGTTGTTTTTTTCTTCTTCTGGTTCTGTTATTTTTTTAGTACTGGGCTGCAAAAAACATTTTTTGCTACCGTACCAAGGGTTGTAAAGGAAAGGAAGAATCGGTCCAATTTCCCAAGACACCCATGTCAGAAAAGCTTGTATGTTGTGAAAACAGCGAAGGGTTTACGGGCAAACCTGGAGCTTTAGCTCCAGTTTCTTTGGCGAGAGTGTGTCTTGAGATAGCTATCGGACTCCTTGTTATGTGGTGGGATAGTCTTTGGGACGCCCTTATTGTTGTATCACAGAAGTGGGTTCCATTTCCCATAGCCCTCTTCGTCACTTTTTGATTGAAGTGTACCCCCTACACCCAATACCCGGCCTTTCTTCAGTTGGTGTCCACTAAAAAAGGGATCGGTATTTACCTTGGAAAACCGTTTTTGGTTTTTCAACCCAAAAAATACCCACTGAAAAAAGCGGGAAGCGGGTATTTGGAGGTGTAGGGGGTATGGCTTTGGAAACCATTTTGGTCAGAAGTTTGGTGACCAAAAGGGTTCCAAGCCACTCGAAAGTGAGCCACGGGAAGTTCTGCGGGAAGACGAGTTGGGACTTGGTGTGGACCAAATGTTTCGGATTTTTGTCAAAATTTCCAGAGAATTTGATAGGGATTAAACTACATGTTTTACAAATTTACATGTTTTTACAAATTAATTTGGAAGTTTTGTGAAACTTCGGATTTTCGCCCACCAATTGTGAGGTTAGTTCTTGTCTCTCCCTGAGCTCCTGGACCGAAAATACTTTGTGGGCTTGGTTACCATTTTAGTGGTAAATGACCAGTTCGGAGAAGTGAGACATACCCCCTACACTCTACACCAAATACCGTTTTTTTCAGGGTATTTTTGGGAAAACCTGGTTTTCCAAGGTAAATACCTCCTTTTTTAGTAGAGGGTCGACATGATACCCTGAAAAAAGTGGGTATTGGGTGTGGGGGGTAGTCTGAATTCTGAAAATCGTATGTTTGTGTATTGGAGGGTGTAGATGAGAAGTTTCCGGACCCCCCACTCCAAATACCTACTTTTCGTAGGGTGTCATGTCAAGACTTTACTAACAAAGGGCTCAGTATTTACCATGGAAGACTTGTTTTCAAAAGATACCCTTTCAGAAATTGGTGTTTGGGGTAGGGGGGGAAGTACTGGAGGTATTTACCTGACAAAACCGAGCGGTTTCCCTCAAAAAGCAGGTCTTTGGAGGTTCCGGAAGTATGAGAAATGATGAGGGACGTGAATAACTTACGAACTTTCTCACTGTCCCATGACACGATGCCAGCTAGAAAAAGGCATTGGGTGTAGGGGGTTCTTTCTGATGTTCCTCAGGGCTGGATCCGCAAAAACCACATCCATAAAAGAATTGACCATGGCGCAAGAAAGTCCCAGGCTGCTTTTCAGCTTGGCCTTTTACTTACTGAGTCAAGGAAAAACAACCTTTGACAAGAAGGATCCCTGACGACTCAGCAACTAGTTGTGCTTGTTGGACAGCTCTAAGGGCCACCAGCCGAGTTGGCGACAAATCTGTTCCGCCTAACTTGTGGCCAGCTCTCCGTGACTTTTGTTCGTTTGTCCTGTTTTTTTTTAAGGGGGGTGGTTCCCGGAAACCAACAAAAAAAGACGCAAGGGGCTGTCAACCACCTACCCGTAGCGCACCTAGCCCCCCCAAGCTGGGATTCACTGTTGGAATTCTCGTATTTCTTTTGCGTATGTGTTGGGCACTGGGCAGTTCGATTTAGACAGGTTTGCTTGGAGCTTTCGCTGCCCGCATGTGCAACCAATTTCTCAGGGTCGATGTAGAGTGAAATCAACCCAGTGGATCCCAGTAATCCGTTTCAGCACATTGGTTTTTCTCTTACCCCCGTAACCTCAAAATACCCGTTTTGTTCAGTCCTTTCAGTCCTTTCGTCTCTAAACTGATTTGACATACCCCCGTAACCTCAAAATACCCGTTTTGTTCAGTTGGTATTTTTTGGAAAGCCCAAAAAGGTTTTCCGTGGAAAAACAACACCATTTGTAGTAGAGGGCCGACATGAGACCCTGAAAACAGGCCGGGTATTTGAAGCTTTCGGGGGTCGTTTTTGAAGGGTTGCAAGCCCTTGGTCACCTACACAGAAAACACGGAGTCACTCGCCAACACAGACTGCGTCTCAAGGTTGCGTGTAGTCCAAACGGGGTGGACCGAGGTCGGGTTCTCTTGGATCAAGTCAGATATTTGTTTTTACATTGTTGTCCTGCGCTGACATAGTGTCTCAGTTGTTCACAGCTGGCCTTTTGAGCTTTTGGTTTTTTAGATTTGGTGCATATTATGTCAAGGTTCCTTCAGTCGAACCTTTAACTTCCGCATCCTTTGAAATATATCTGAGTTGTAGAACATGCCCTGGTTTATGGTTCCGCATTCCAAGTAAAGCGACGTGGCAAGGTGGAAGTTTGTTCTTCAAAGTTGTTGGCAAGTTTTTCGTTTACAAGTTCATGTAACAAATGAAGGCCCAGGTTGTTTTTGGGTTATGTTCATTTTTCGCTTTTGGGTCCTCGGTTGGAACGTTGTTCCAACCCGGGCCATGACCCACCCCAATACAGAACCCCAGACCCTCCAATGGAGAACCCATAGCGACCAAGTCCTCAACTTTGCGGTTAGCGAATCGTCCGGTGCCAGAAAGGTTTTTTTGTTTTGGTGGTTGGGTTTCCATTGAATCCAAAAAAAGTATTCAGCTTTTAGCAGGGTTTTTGAGTTGTTCTGCGTTGGTTTAGGGGTTGGGTTTCCAATTAACCCACAACCACAAGTCTTCAACGTTTAGATCAGAAAGCGGAGAGCCCAGTCAACGGCCGTCCAAAACCCGGAGAACGGCACAAGAAATCCGTCGACTGAACTGGGACTCGGCAGGCCCAGGATTTGTTTTTGTTGGTATGATTTGTCAACCCTATTCCTGAAAAAGAAACGGATTGGATTCCTTTTTTTCCCCCAAATGGCTTTTTGACAAAGCCAACTGCAAAAAGGTGTTGGTATTTGGAGTAGGGGGGTACTGTGGATGAACGAAATCGGCACCACTTGGAAGGCATGGGCAACCAATAGTTCATTGGTATTTGCAGGGTAGTCATTCATTCCACTTCCATTTGCTTAAGAAGATTTGTGATTTTCCCCTGTTGGTTTTACTGGAAATATGTTATCATTTCTTCCAGGGGTCTTAACCAAATGGAAGTCCAGTGCTTCTTGGGTGGTGCGGCGCATGTTGACCTGACGCGCAGATTCGATCGGCCAGGAACCCGAGGAGGAGGAGGCTCCGGGGTGGAGAGGGTGCGGAGGGCAACATACGAAGTTTGGGTTGGCTAAATCATTCTGTCCCACTCAGTCCTTTCGTCTCTAAAATGATTTGACCTACTCCCTACTCAAAATATCTGCTTTTTTCAGTTAGTATTTTTGGGGAAAGCCTAGTTTTCCATGGTAAATACCTGGGTCGACATGATAGCCTGAAAAAAGAGGGTATCTGGAGTGGGGGATAAGTGGGCTACATGTGGAATCAAAAAGTACAGTTCTCTATGTGCCCCAAGTGTGACCAGGATTTGGTCAAGGGAAGGTCGTGTCTTTGTTGTCTCCATCTCCCTTTTGCAGCTTTCAATCCGAGGTGATTTTGTTTGATTCAAACGCGCGAAAATGGGCCGTTGCTGTGTTGTCCTGCGATCATGACCGGATTTAGTTGCACAGTCCCGCACAGCCCCATGCTACCAATTTTAGGATTTGTATAGGCGCTTATAGCGGTCTTGAACGCGGTTGCTACGGTTGTTCCTCACAGACTACACCTCGATGACGAGTCTATACGCGCCCTCCCTGTACTCCAACTACCATTGTTGTTTGGTGTATCAGGCCAACCCTTATCGAATAGGGATGAATTTTCAATGCAAAGCCGATCGGTTTTTCTTTTTGAAAGAATACCCTGGCCCTGCACAAAGCGTTGGTATTTGGAACTTTTGGGGATACGTAGCGAATTTTGACCGTTTCAACTCCCAAAGAAGTTGTCCTGAAGGATTTTTGGGAAACCGTTTTAAAGCCAAAGCTTTGGACCATAATTGTGAGGGCTGTTCGGGCTACATAGAGGGGTCCAAGCCATTCAGGTCAATAGGTACCCAATGTGGAACCTTATGGAAAGGGACTAATGCCGTCCATATCCCGGCTAGTTTGGCCGAAAATTCTGACCAGGTGGACCAGGTGGCCGAAAATATGTTTGTTTCCCTTCCCATAAGGAGCTACTGTGATGGTAAACACGGTCCACCAAACACTTCTAAAGGTGTTCCTGATCAAAACTCTCTAGCCAGATGAGTGTTTGGGATCACTGTGCAGGCGACCCCAGATTGCAAAACCATTTAAAGATTCCCCCTACGGTCATGTATTGTGACAAGAAATCCCTTTTGCTTGTGGAGAGTCTCAACAATTTCTAAACCATACATTTAATTCAAGAAACCTAGGGTTTTGCCGAGACTCTGGGAGGTACATGTTTCTGAGCTTTGCCCCAGGAGTTGGAATGTAGAGTACGGCTTGATCAGGCTGAGTCTGGCTGAATCTGGCTGCGGTCCAGTGGCCTGGCCTCTCAGAGGCAGCGGGGGCAGCTTGGGCTGTGGCCGCGCCGGACGTGGATTTTCTGGCCCAGGAGGACGCGGACGGAACATCCCATCCGGACTTGTTCCGAAGAATCTTCTTGCTGACTACCTGGCCGAGACTTGGGGCACAGACTGGCAGGCGGCGTTGGCGCACAGCGGCTGCCTTGCCGAGCTTGGAGCGCTGGGTGACGCGCTGCGGGACGCCACCGTTGATCTGGCTGAATAAGAATTCTTAACACAAAGAACGACCGAACACATTTTGAGGGATCCAAAAGGGTCACCTAGATTGTGCTTGTGCTTGTGCTTGTGTGTGTGTGTGGGTGGGTGGGGGTGTGGGGGTGTGGGTGGGTGGGTGCTTGCATGCTTGCATGTTCTGTGTGTTTGTGTGTCTGTGTGTCTGTGTGTCTGTGTGTTTGTGTGTCTGTGTGTGTGTGTTTGTGTGTTTGTGCGGTTGTGTGTGGGTGTGTATTTGTTTGTGGGTGTTTTGTGTTTGTGTGTGTGTGTTTGTGTGAAACCACTGGCATGATTCTTTTGGAGATTTCTGGTGTCCAAGTGTTCATCAGCAGTATGTTCAAAGTCACCCCTACGTAAAGAAAAGGGAAGCGACCCCAGTTCCTGAGTTTGATGGCTAAAAAGCACGGCCAAAACAATGAGTCCAATTTTGGTGGGAACCGCCTCGAAAAGAAAATGATTTTGTCCATCCACCATGTCACCTGGATAACCTGGTTTTAGACGGGAAATCCATCTATTTCGGAGCGAAACCCGTGGGCCAAAACGGGATTTGGAACACATCGCATGGACTTCCCTCATGTCCCCGCAACCTCCAAATACCCAGTTTTTCTGTTGGTATCTTTGGGAAAACCCTGCGTTTGCACGCCACCATGATACCCCGAAAAAAAGGCGTGTTTGGAGTAGAGGGTAGATGTTCTGAAACAAGCAGGTCTCCCAGGAATTGCAACATCGATGTCTGATTTGTTTGACTGGTTTCCCAAGAAAACTGGTCTTCAAACTCCACTTTTTCCAGGGTATGATTTGTCGGCCCTCTACTAAAAAAGGGATCCGTATCTACCATGCAAACCCAGGTGTTTTGTTTTTTCAACAAATACCAACTGAAAACAAAACACACAAAACCGCTGGTGTTTGGAGAAGGGGCGTACCCATTTTTTTTCTCCTTCGGGTAAACATGGCCATGGTGGCTGATACGAACAAAATCCAACACCTTCCCAGCCAACAAACATTGCCATGAAATTGTCAGTTGTAATTAAAATAAACAACAAAGCGTAACTAAAGACAGATATGACATCAATCTTGAGTAGGTTTTTTTCCCCGGCTTCCGGAACACGCCAGTTCCTTTGGAGGCCTTTCCGGAGATCAGCAAGGAGAACCCCTCCTTCGTGCAGCTCTGGGACACCCTGAGCCTCACTCAACGCCAGGCGCAGCAGTTGACGGATTGGCGGATTGCCATTGGCCGAAGAATGGAAAACCATTACATATAGTCATTGTTGTTTTCGTGTTTTTTCTCCTCTTTGTTTTCTCTCTGTTTTAAAGAAAACACATGCTGTTCAGCATGTGTTTCAGAGTTATCATTGCTTTGTGCTTGTCTTGTTTGAATGCTATTCTTCAGAGTTAGCCTGTAGTTAGGCTCGTAAGACCATTTTTCATTTCGCTTCTTGGTTTTGAAGGGAATCTATCACTGGAGTACTGGACATACTGTGGATGGACGAAATCCCACACCACTTCGAAGCCATGGGAATCCATTGTCGTTGGCATTTGCAGGGGAATCACCATTCCTTGGTTTCTTAGGTGGTGCAGGATTTCGTCCATCCACAGTATGTTCTCATTTGTTCCCAGGGGACTCAAGCAAATGGAGGTAAGGGCTGAAGGGCATTTCGGGAGGAACCCGTTTCGGGGACAGCCGGGCTGCGTTGCCTGCATTTGCTCAGTTGCCCAAAACGGGTCCACCTTGGACCTTTGGGTTTTCCAACTGTTGGGCAAACATGTGGGCATGGGTCAAAACGATACCACCATAAAACCGCAGGTTTTAGCGTTTCAGTCCATGTTTCCACTTACCAGGGTTCTATTTTGGGTGCCTATTTTTGACCCACAGCCCTGTTTCGGCAAGGTCCCAACAAGTAAATCACCTTTGGTTTCCCGCTCCTGGCAAGCGAGGCTGAACTTGCTTTCGTTGTGCGGCATGGGTGGCCCAAGTTGGAAGCAATTCCCACTGTTTAACTTCATTTTTTTCCCCAGATAGCTGAAAGCTATAGGGGTTCTAACTTCTTATAAAGAAGGGAAAGTGATTTGCGAGATTGAGGGCCGGGTGCTGGGGGGCATGCAGTTTGGGGTGCTGGTGGAGGTGCTGTTTTGCGAGCTTGACGGCCGGGTGCTACTGGGCATGCAGTTTGCAGTGCTGGTGGAGGTGCCGCTTTGCGAGATTGACGGCCGAGTGCGTGGAGGTGCTGTTTTGCGAGAATGACGGCCAAGTGCTAGGGGTCATGTAGTTTGGGGTGCTGGTGGAGGTGCTGCGAGATTGACGGCCGGGTGCTAGAGGGCATGCAGTTTCGGGCTGGTGGAGGTGCCGCTTTGCGAGATTGACGGCCGGGTGCTAGGGGGCATGTAGTTTGGAGTGCTGGTGGAGGTGATGCTTTGCGAGATTGACGGCGGGTTGCTAGGGGGCGCTGGTGGATGGGCATGTAGTTTGGAGTGTTGGTGGAGGTGCTGTTTTGCGAGATTGACGGCCGGGCGCTAGGGGTCATGCAGTTTCGGGTGCTGGTGGCGGTGCCGCTTTGCGAGATAGGGGGCATGTAGTTTGGAGTGCTGGTGGAGGTGCTGTTTTGCGAGATTGACGGACGGGTGCTAGGGCATGCAGTTTGGGGTGCTGGACGGGTGCTAGGGGGCATGCAGTTTGCGGTGCTGATCAAGGTGCTGGCGCCTGTGCTGTTTAAGGCGCTGATGGACAGGGGGGGCACTCAGTTTGGGGTGCTGTTTGGGGTGCTGGTGATGGTGCAGGCGCATTCTTGCAAGGAGCTGATGAAGCTGTTTTGGGGTACTGTTTGGGGTGCTGTTTGAGGTGCTGCTGACGTTGCGGGCGCAATTTTTGGAGATTGCCGGCGGGTGCTAGGGGGCATGCAGTTTGGGGTGGTGGTGCAGGTGCTGTTTTGTGTTGCTGTTGGAGGTGCTGCTGACCGCGTGGGCATAGACGTCTAATGAAGAAGGGAAATTGTTTTGCAAGATCGACGGCTGGGAGTTAGGGGGCATGCGCTTTGGGGTGCTGGCGCAAGTGCGGTCTTGGGTGCTGTTCGGTTCAGGTGCTGGTGACAGTACGTGACGGCAGGGTGCTCGGGGATGTCGTGTCCGGTGCTGGCGCGGGTGCTGCGTTGGGGTGCTATTGGGGCTGCTGTTTTCGGGTGTTGGTGATGGTGCGGGCGCATATGGATGGCAGGGTGCTACACCGGCTGCTTTTTGGGGTATCGTGGTTGTCGCATCATCATGATGCTGGCCGCAGCCACCGATTCGGACGTTGTTGCTGCTCTAACTGTCGCGCGTAATGGTTCGTGGCTGGTGTATCATCATGATGTTGTCAACCACGTTATGATGCTGCTGCAATCGCTGCGTTGTGGTTCGTGGGTGTGGCGGCGGGTATAAAGCTGTCAACATCAGGATGATGCAGAATTTCATTCGTGGCTGGTGTATCAGCATCATCCTGTCAACATCACCGCTTTGCTGATGGACTCACTAGGGCGTTGTTTGTGCGTCTATGTAGCGCACTAAGCTGAGTAGCTGTGGTATTTTCATGATGCTGTCAACATCACCAAGATGCTGTCAACATCATCATCATGCCGCGGGAACCATTGTGATGCTGCGTCCTGGTTTGCTATCTGCGGTCTATGCTGGTGTAATTTGTTTTTTAGTTTTTTTTTGGTTCTGTTCATTTTTACTGGGGGTCTGCAAAAATCAAAGTTTTTTGCTACCATACCAAGAGTGGAGCTGATTTCCAACCCCCCAACAACAAGCTGTTTCTTCAGGCTCTAGGATGGTTTGGAGCAGATGTTTCAGAGGCTTCTGGAAATCATTACATGTTTTCTCGTTTGTTGTTTTGGGGGTTGAGCGGCATTCGGGGTTGAGGCGGATCTTGCCCTAGACTTACGGAGTGGTTCATTTCGTGCATGGCTAAATGCAAAGTGGGACAAGCTCAAAGGCCCACCAAAAAGCAGTACTACGGTACTGCGTTTGTGAAGCTGGGTGAACCACTACCCCCTCCAAACACCCGTGTTTTTCAGTGTCTTCTTGGTTAGTCGAGGGTTGACGACTCATGCCCTTCCAAAAGACGGGCAATTGGGGTAGGGGGTCCCCGGTTCTTCGGTGGCACCGATCCAATCCCGGGGCCGGGATCGGAGACCCCAGCTGGACCCTCAACTCAGTTCAGTGGCACCAGAAATTGTTTCCTTTTTTTGGTGGCTGCCCCACTAAAAATGGTCTTCCCAAAAAAGGGTTCCTTTTTTTTCCAGGGTCGCTGAACGACTGGGTCAAAGGTACCCCCGTAACCTCCAAATGTCCGGCCTTTTTAGTTGGTATCATGTCGACCCTCTACTAAAAAAGGGATCGGTATTTGCCATGGACAACCAAACTTTCCCAAAAATACTAACTGAAAAAACGAAAAAGAAAAACGGTATTTTGAGTAGCGCGTACTCGGAATACCAACTTCTTCTGTTGGCTTTTGTTGAAAAACCGATCGGTTTTCCATGGGAAATACCCTTCCCTTGTTCGGTAAAAAAGGTTCATCATACCCTGAAAAAGAAGGTGGGCATTTGGAGGAGGGGGTACCCTTGCAATATGGGAACTTACTCATAATTTTCGGGCAATAACAATCTTGTGCTTGTCCCCCCCAGTCCCAATAGCTACTAGCAACCACATAGGTACCTTTCCCAACGGTTCCCGACCCTTGAGAGCCATAGGAAGCACCAATTCTTGGAAGGGCACGCTAAGGTTCCGGGCAACGTTTGCCTCACTGAACAGTTCACCGCATGAAAACTCGTGAGAGCGATCGCGCCTCGCTTGCGTGTTTACACAAGCCTAGGAAGCCCAGTGACCTTAGTGAAGCCATGCGGTTGTTTCAGCAACTCCAAGTGGGAGGTAGATTTCGCTTGCCCAAAGCCGATCAAACGGTCATTCCAGGTCCAACAAGGGCCAGTGAGAAATTGGGTCACGCCATTATTCCGATCCATTTGCCTTTTGGGTGTGGTCCATCCGGCTTAAATGGCTTTCCCGGGCTGAGACTTGTGGAGTTTTAGAGTTCAGAGGTACTTCAAACACATGGCGGTGTTTTTTCTAGCCCCCCCCCCCAAAAAAAAAAAAAAAAACAAGTCACGCCCATATATACATATATTTGTATATACCACTACAAGTTCAACATGCAAGTCGTGACATGTGCCGAGAGACTTCTGCGCGCGCTTTTGGCGTTTCCAAGGCATTGGCTTCCATGAATCGATGATGCACTCAGAGCCAACATGAATTTCAATCGGCCGACGCACCGTCTCGGCGGCGCCGCAGCGGGACATTTTGACCCCTTTTCGAGTACATTCAACTTTTTCGGCATGAGCACGGGCCCTCAGAGTGGTTTTGTCCAAGCTTCCAGCTGAAATGGGAACCAACATGGAGCCAAAGCCGTCGGCTTTTAGGGTCGGAATCTTTGCTGTAGCACCCCTGCACAACATGTGGCTGTTGGGTCGACCCAACATTGTGGACATGAATTTGTTTTTGTTGGTGGAGATTCATGGAAAAACGAGCCACTTGTGAAACGTGAATGTCCAACCTGTGACCTCTTTCCCGAAGTCTCAGTCAATGGCGTGCGCTTATTTTTGTTGAAGCTACCCTTCTCCAGCTGGCTTACAGGACCAACAGGAAAACCCACCGTGTTCGGGATCCCCCTCTATTTGGACAGATACCCATTTTGGCCATGGGGGTGCTGAGCACATGCTGTCGCTGCGCGGGCGCGGTGCTGGTGGTGCCGCTGGCTGTGGTGCTGGCAGCGCCTCGATGGATTCAACCCCACTCCAAACCCAGTTGCCCAGTGGCGCCCCGTTTTCCTTTTTTGGGGGAAGGGGTTCCGATTCCTTTAAGCTCAACCAACCAAAAATCCAGGATGCCTTTTTTCCCCGTGGCCACTGGGCATTTGAGCAAGCACCCACTGCTAGTTGTTGGTTTGAACAAGCTCTTTGAAACCAAGGCATGCCCAAAACCCAAAACAAGTATGGGGCATTTGGAGCTTCAGTCCAAAAGAAAAAGGGTGCTTCATTGAATTAACATAATTGTGCCGTGTCCTCCTCCCTGTCCAGTGCTACACTCAGAGACTGAATTGCTTCCCGAATCTGTAGCTCAGGCTGGCAAAGAGTTTCCCACCCTTGTTTCAGGTAAGCCTGAATCGGTGGTTTGC